GTCCTCCTCGAGGATTCTGGCGACGGGCTGGAGGGCGGCACGGACCTGCGGGGCCTCGTACGTCTGGGAGGGGGCGGCGGCGCAGACGGCCACCACGGCAGCAAACACAAGCTGAAACAAACGTTTGGCATGTGTTATCAATTGATATACGAATGCAGGTGTGATGCAGCTTAAGAAATTTCACCACATTAGGCCTCCGTTGATCTTCGTGTTGCTGTGCTCGAAGTGCTATTAAACACATGCTAGTATTGCGGCCACCTTAAGGTTGTTTTAGTCAGGATGCCGACCCTTTCTGACATAACATGTGTATTTATATCGAGATTCTAGCTGGCCTAGAGCAAGGAACTATGTTAGTTCTTGCTCTCACCAGCTTCATGATATGGTCCTGTGGTTCTGTTCAGAGACAAGAGATGAAGTGATGCGTCTTCTGGGGAGCAGACGTGTTTTATACTCCTGAGCAGGATAGGCTGCCCCACCGGAGGGCCCGGTACCCAGGGACGACCGGGTCAGGCAGATGATCCAGTTCATGGGATTCAGTGTCACCAGCTGAGAAGATTACACAACCAACCCACGACAGGACACTGCGAGCTGCCCAGAAAACTCGTTTAGCTCTGGTGTCCACGGCGTTTCGGCACAGCTCTTCAAAGAGGAATTTTCTACATGTCAAACGAGGGTACGGTAGACCACCGTTCACGTTGGCTGCTGGGGCATAGCTGGGAGCAAAAAAAAAACAGTGCAATATTGTGGGTTGTTTTGCACAAAAAGTGTCATTGCATGCCACATTCACGCTTACGTTGGTATGCTTGCGGACAAATGTCAACTCCCTTGCACAGACAAGCTTGGATAACGATCGTACAGAATATGCCAGAATTGGATAAGGAATCACGTTGAAAAACATATCATCTTGAAACAGCGACTGCAGCTTCGTTAAAAAGGGCTGTCGGCCATGTGATACAGCGAACTTGACTACAGCTCTTCGTTATCTGAAATTGCAAATGCTAGCCATCCACAGCCAAAGAAATGTGAAAAGAATGAATTATGGAGGCAAACATGTTGTGGAAAACGACATCCTCAAGGAACGACTGGACCTCCATGTAACGTGAAGTTGTAGTCAGCTCAATCGACTCAATCGACTGTAGTCAGCTCAAACTTGGTGTTGTCACGCACCTTAAGAAATTTCATCACATTGGGGTACGTTGATCTTCGTGTTGCTGTACTCGGAGTGCCCTTAAGCGCACGCCATTTGCAATGTTCACAGGATACGTGCACCGGTAACAAGCGTGTCAAAATTGTAGCTACATGCAGATCATTTTGCAGCAGGATGACGACCTTTCCTTACATCACGTGTACGTGCATTCATACTGAGCCTGTTTCTCGTCCAGTGCAGGAGGACCCTGTAAGCTCTTACTCTTACCAGCTTCATGGTGCAGTTCTGTGGTTCTGTACAGAGACAAGAGATGGATTTATGCCACTGTTGTGGGGCAGACGTGTTTTATACTGCTTAGGAGGACAGGGTGCCCTACGGAGCGTCCGTTATCCAGGGACGACCGGATCAGGCAGATGATCCAGTTTATGGGATTGGGATATGGGATTCAATGTCACCAACTGAGGAGATTACACAACTGACCTACAAGAGGAGACTATGGGCTGTCCAGAAACCAAGCGTTGTTCTGGGGGCGACGGCGGCTCGGCACAGCCCATCGTGGCGGCTCCTTTACATGCCAGAAGCGCGGTACGCCATCAGCCACGTGGCTTTTTGTGGAATTGAAAATTGAGACTAAAATAAGCATGCCATATTGCGTTTTTTTCCCCCAAAAATGCCTTTCACACCACATGTACTTTAGCGTTGTCATGTTTGGGGACAGATACCGACTTATTTGCACAAGCAAACTTGGATAATGATTGCACAGAATAGGTTAAAGTTTGAGAGGACATCACGTTGCAGAACACAGCATCCTGAAATGAGGACTGGAGCTTCGTGAAAATGGGCTTTCGGCCACGTGATATAGCCAGTTTGACTACAGCTCTTTGTGGTCTAAAGATGCGTATGCTAGCTCGCCGCAGCCGGTGAATATGAAAAGGGTATATTATGAAAGCAGAAATGTCGTAGAAAACAGCATCTTCAAGAAACGACTGGACCTTCATAGAACGCCAACGTCTAGTCAGGTTTTGTAGCCATTGTTGACTAAGTGGTCTCTTCGGGGCTTGCAGATGCATTTTTTTATTTCTGCACAGGCGGAAGTATTTTCATCCAAACTCCCTGCAAGCGAATGTTTTCCCATTACTTGCCTGACTCAGTACATACATAATGCATCAAAACACCATCATGATACATATCTTGAAGCGTATCCATGTGTTCAGCATGATGTTAGCTTGCAGCATCAAATATATCTGCCGTGGAGCTATTTCTTGCGTGGATGGAAATTTAAATATTACATGCAAGCCAGAGATAGGCTAATGAGAACATGTCAGTTGGGGGGAGGGAATAATCCCCGCACCAGTGGCCGCTAATCATTTCCCCACCCATCCAGGAAAGATCTTTATTGGTCGACAGCTCCCACTCGACGAGATTTTACAGCAGTTCAGGCATATATCAAAGTCGCAGTGCAAGTTGTATGGGACCAAGCATTTCAAGATGATCCAGCTGCTCTTGACTACTAAATGAAGAAAGCCAAAAATGAGCGAGGAGCCGCTTTTGAAATGGTCACGTACGATAGGGCAGACAGACAAACATGTTCGCAAAATGTATTGCGTGCCATAAAACTGCATGCTTTCGATCTTATTTGTACGTGCCCACGTATGTCAGCTGTAATTCGATTCGCGTAGATGAGTGCTGAAATTCGCGCAAGAATGTCATCACCATACTCAGTTCCTGATGATGAAAGCTCTGTTGGATCCATTCTGATTGGCTCAATTTCATGCACAGCTACGACTGCAAAAATATGGTAGATCGCATAAAAATGGGGCAATCCACCTGGCGGGCCATCGCAAAACGTATACTACCGAACATGACGAACATAGCGTCACGAAAGGGACATTCAATCGCAGGAGAAATCTATCCTATCATCCTGGGCTCCGTAAGTCTTGGATCGACTTGCTCCCGGTGGCGACGATTCCTTTGAGAGGTTTTGGAGGCAAACGTGATAGCTCTCGCTTCTTTACATGCAACGTCTTAATGTTTATGTCAGATTTTGTGGGCCTGGAATGTAGGTGACCCCTTTTGCGGCACTCACTCATCAGTTATTTCTTCGGTTGTCCGGAGGGTGAGGGAGGGCGGTATGGGCCAAACAATGGAGCAGCCTCCAATGCGTCCCCTCCTTCGCTTACACCGGCCGCGCTTGCTCCCTTCGACTGCCGTGTGATGACCTGCGACCAGCCCTTCCTGCATCGCAGTGTTTCATGGTCTGTACGCCACTGCCCATGCCAGCATTGATTGTCTATCACGGCGAACTTGCTGGTGTTTCGATATTTCGACGCGCACTTGAACGTTAATAATCGCAATAAAGCTCGCTTGCACATCTATGTATCGGTGGCATAAGCCAACATAGTCATGCCATCCCGATTATAACGATGGCTTAAAGTGTACGGCTTATTCCAGGCGTCCTAAACAGAAGGGGAGCATCATTTGTTGAGATCGCCGGTGGTTTCTGAATGGCCACGAAATATCTTCGAGCACGTTCAGAGCCATGTAGTGTGTAATGGTAACACTGGAATGCATAATTGACGAAACGAGCGCGCCTTTTATATTTAGTAATGCGGCGTGCACGCGTGTCGGTGCAAAGTTCAAACGACGGCCTGTGCTCGGTTATCCGTTGATCTTGGTGTCTTCTTTTGCACGTCGGATATCTCGAAGCTCAACAGCTTCAGTATGATCCACAATTTAGAGTTTGTTGAATAGCCATTACTGTGACGTCTCCGGGACTGTCATGTATTGCTTTGTCTTTTTATTAAGTTGTCTACACAAGCAATGACCACGAATTTTGCCCTGCCGCTGCCGTACGCCTGTTTAAACACTACAACAATCGTATTCGATCTGCGATCCTATATTCTGTGCACTGGCACTATTCACGTCATTAGACAGCCTGCAAATGGTGTTCCCAAAAGTCATCGTTGCTCACACAGCAGTGAACATCGTTTCCACAGCTTGCTTACGGCTCAGCTTGTTTTACCTGCGAATACGATTAGCATTAACTCTAAAGGTCATAAAATGGACCTTCCTACCAGCACAAAGTAGCTCCTGCCGCCCATCAATCTCCGTACGGCGTCGTCAGCACTCAGGTGCCCACCTCACTATTGTACATGCGAGCTGTTGAGACTCTTACTGCGCTCTTTTTAAACCGTAAGCAGGTCAACAAGCAAAAGATGGCGAGCAGACAGACGCACATTTTTAGACATCAAGTTATATGGCAGCTCCTTTAGAACACAGAGCCAATAGAAAACTGTTGCGCACCTGCATGTTGTGATCGATCTCATTTTGCAGTCTGGGGTTTAGCTTTGTTTTAACAAAGTTCAGTTCGTTCTAACTAATAAAACAACAAATAAATGGAAGTGTAGGAACAAAAGCGTGAGTGAACAACTGTTGACATGACGGCAAGTCCGACGAAATACGCCGGATTTGTTTTTATGTTACCCGCAATTCAACTTGGCCAAATCGTCCCGTCCCGTCATCCCTCAGTAATTTGCTCTTAAAAGGCCCTGGATGCGATGTCTTGTAATCTTTCAGAATCAATCATAATGTATTTGGTGTGGCATGCAATGAAACGCCTTGAGACAGGTGAATGCCTCAATAACCCAAACTTATGGCGCAGACTATGTCTGGCACAGCCACCACATGCTAGCGTGACTTTCTCGGCCGGTTGTCAATTAGCTACCATTGATAAACCTCGTTGGCCCGTTTCCTGTGGTGTGAACCCACATGCTTGCTACACAACATTGACATGTTCGCCGCTGCACCCACTGAATTATGTTACAGCAATTGCCATTATGCCGAAACCAACGTATAATCGCAAACATATATTTCGCTTCGTGTGTACATTGATTTGAACTCCAAACATAAGCGTCAGGAACACGTGGAAAGCGAATCCCATCTCCCGGCACGCAATCTCTGCACGGCAGCTTTCTACGATGCATTCATAAGTTAAATTGATAATCAGACGCACTCAAATCGGGACCAAAATTTCAAATTTAAATACATGACACACATCTAAACGTTGGGTCTGTCAGAATTCCGCAAAGCCTATAGCAATGGAAAATATGATGGTACGTGACGGAGGTCCGATTCGCTGCTTTACTGGTAGCGAGGCTGATATCCGACCAGCACCTTCTCGTACTGGACGGGGGCGGGGGCGGCGCGCTCCTCAGGGGCCGGAGCCGAGTACCCCTGCACGGTGCGCACCTCGGGGGCCGCCTCGGTCGACGGCACCTCGGGCGTCGGGTACTCGGTGGGCACGGCCGTCGGCAGCGCCGCACCCTCGGCACGGAAGCCCAGCGCGTCGGCCACGTAGCTCACGACAATCTCAGCGCCCTCCGGTGACGTGTAGCTGTACGAGCCGGTGACAGCGCCGTCCGAGCCCTGCTCCTGCCGCTCGATGCCGTCGTCGGAGACGAAGCGGAAGCTGAAGCCCTGCTGGCCGTCGTGCTGGCTGTCCTCCTCGAGGATTCTGGCGACGGGTTGGAGGGCGGCACGGACCTGCGGGGCCTCGTACGTCTGGGAGGGGGCGGCGGCGCAGACGGCCACCACGGCAGCAAACACAAACTGAAACAAACATTTGGCATTTGTTATCAATTGGCATGCGAATGCAGGTATCATGCAACTTAAGAAATTCCACGGCAACAAGTCTGCGTTTAGATTTGTGTTGTTTTTGGAGTGCCCTTAAAGCCAGGTTAGTTGGGATGATCACAGGGTAGGTGCATTCGTAACGAGCTGTCAAAATTGTGGCCAGCTGAAATAGTTTTGCTCTATGATAGCAATCTTTTTGTACATCATGCCTTTGTAACTTTGTATTGAGCTCGTTGCTTGTCTGGAGCAGAAAAACCATGTAAATTTTTACTCTTACCAGCTTCATTGTGTGGTCCTGGGGTTCTGTACCGAGACGAGAGATGAAGTGATGCCTTTTCTGTGGAGCAGACATGTTTTATACTGCTGAGCAGGATAGGCTGCCCCTCCGGAGGTCTCGTAATCCAGGGACGACCGGATCAGGCAGATGATCTAGTTTATGGGATTCAATGTCACCAGCGGGGGAGATTACACAAGCGGCCTACGAGAGGACACTGCGAGCTATACAGAAAACTTGCTCGGCTCTGGCGCAGAGGGCGTTCGGCTCAGCCCGTCATGGCGGACTTTCTTACATATCAGACTAGGGTAGGTAAGCCACGTGCGCTGGCGTTGCTTCTTTGAACATTGCTGGGAGGCAAATAATGGTACGTTACGGCTCATTTCGTCCAACGGCGCTTTGCATTCCTGGAACTATCAAAGATGTGTTCTAGTAAACAGGAATATTATTTCCACACTGACGTTTCTGCACTAAGGCGACGAATTCCTTTTCACGTGGCATAAGCACGCCAGTATAACAATTCCTCACAATGGAAATAAACATCCTTCGAAAAGAACGAGGAGGTTGTGAAGCAGCACAATGAAGTGTAAATACGGTTTCATAAAATGCTTATGGCGGTTGATGTGGGTAACAGCCAAAAGCTTAGCAGACGCTGCCACATTTTTGTCTGCCGATGCTTTTGCAGTTTTTTTTCTTAATCGTATCATGGAGCGGTTTTTCCCCCTTGCTTCTTCATACTTTTCAGCTTTTTTTGCTCTTTAATAACACATAGTCACTTGTTAAACCCAAAATTTTACTTGGATATTATCGAACAGGTTAAGCGAATTCTGAACGGGCGTCTGATTTTAGCCGCTGGCCGGCTGGCATTACCAGAAGCGGTACTCACGTGCGCTTAGTGTTTAGGAATTCCATCAAACACAGTCTGAGCAGCTAAACGCATTGTCTTGGCGGCGATCGTGTCCGCTGGTTGAGTCGAGCAGTGGTTGTGGAGGATTCTTTGCACCCGCGGGCTGAGTTTTACGTCTTTCATGCCATCTTTGCCTTTTCTGGTCAGCCGTTTTGACCACAGCTCTCAACCTGACGACAGTTATAGTTCTTTCGAGCCTGAGTAAGTATGAATTGGAGACGCAACTTGTTAACCGGCAAACCCGCAACATCTGACCCGACGAGACCCTCAGGCTTTCGGCCAGGCTGTGGGCCAGACCTGTGGGCTTTTGCAGGTTAATGTTTACTTATGCCTGCGTTATTTCATAAATGCAAGAACATGTAAATTACGACCACGATAACAAGTGATGTTCACTACGATATCTTGCACCTTTAATACCATAACCGTCTATTTGTAATGTACGTGACTTAAAAAATAGGCAATTTCCTTTTACCTCTCTTCCGATATGTGAGCCCAAGTTGCTGTCAAAAATTGGGCAGGGACTAAAACACCGACAGACGAAGCAGGCACGCTCGTTCTCCGAAACGTATCGTACCGAAACGTACCTTCCATAGTCGATTCAGTGCAATGAGGTGAGTAATGGGTAGCAATGTCGAGACCTGACCTTGGGTCAGACTACTCAAAAACACGAAGCGAAATTTAGCATACAAAAGCGGACAACTCAGATTTCAGAACATATTGCACCGATCGCTATGAAACCTCCACCATTGAATGTGTCGTACCTAATTTTATGTTACCATGGGAAATTTGGTGACCCTAAGTGACATCAAAAGTGACCAACTTTCACAAGTTCCAAAATTGTTGCTGGAAGCTCTCAAAATCTAACACTCTGATGGCTGTAAGACCTTGCCATTCATTGCTATCCTGATTTCCTGTTTTCTTATTACATATTTATTTATTACATATTTTTTATTATTACACAATTACATATTTACATTCTATATTTCATGCCGAGAAAACGTACGCCTTGGTTAAGCTAGCTATATTAAGCTAGTGATGCCATTCGTTCTTGTATTTCTTCTCAGCGGAGGTGTTTTTTTCTGAAAGTCACGCGTTCCATGGGCATGGCGTCGCCGCCGCCGCCGCCGCCAACGTGGCCGTGGTGGGGCGCGGGTGGCCGATATGTGTGGTACGCGAGTACCGCCGTTCTGCCTCGTGATTATGTGCGTGACTCCTCAGAGCCTCTGGTTGCTGCCTCCAAGGTGTTCAAAAGTCCGCCGAATCGAGTTGAGCGTGGGCCACGCCCGCGGCTATGATGAATGCTGTAAATTTCACGTGCCCAGCTGTGAAAGCAGGCTCGATGGACCTGACCGAAGCGAACCGATTTGGTCAGTGTCCTGCTGTGACAGATCCGTGACCTCGCAATCCTGTTGGGGGCTTGCCTCCGGTGCTCTGGGTACAGTTTGTCACCAAGATACAAGTACCAGAAGGAAACGAGCAAACGGTGACAAAATGACTGAACAGACTTCGCTGTTTAGATCGACGGGATGCAGGGTGGCCAGCAGGGTGCGTGCGGATGCTGGGTGGCTGTCTTCTCAGCTAGGAGCCGCCGGCGGCACCGCTGGCAGGCGGTATGCGGTGAGCAGACGTCATGGGTCAAAGTCCGTTTGAGGTAGGTGAGGTGGGGTTTTGACCACATCAGCCTCTTCTTTCTGTGTTGTTTTTAAGCTGGTCTGCACCTGCAGTTGAGGTGCGATGCCTCTAGACAAGTCAAATCTACATCCGTCCACAGGTCTCGGCTTAGGGGTCATACGCCACATTTTTCGAATGTAGTTGCTGCCTTTTCGATTCTGATCTTTCGTCTGTATTTTGGTTCAAAGATTCATTAACGCCATAACATGTGACCCTCGTGCCAGGATTGAAAAGGACTCAGTCTTTGAGAGCAGTATCATGGGCTTGTTTCACTGATACTAGGACTCCAATTTCAAGAGGCTGCATTTCGTGGCTGCGGTGGCTGCGCGGCGTAGCAGCCGTGATGGCGTTATCTCGAGCTTGTGCTGCACGTCGTGGTACACATCGAAACAAAATACATTTATTATTGGTGTTTTTACCACGTTTAGACCTACGAGGGTCTGCCCCCAACCCCAAGGGACTTGGTTCTAGAGATGTCAGTGAAGAACACGTCGCGTTTTGGAAGACGGTGGTCCACGGGAAAGGGGGAAGTGACAGCTCGTTGCGGGATTAGACGCATTATTAATGTTATCGAGAAACGGGGTCATAAGAGGACAGTTTTCTGCGGAGACCGAAAATGGCTGGGATAACTATGTAATTAAATTTAACCTGTGTGAATTGAACACCCACCGATATTTTATCGGTCCAGCGATCAGGCACGGAATATTTTTTTATTAATTCAATATTCATGTAATGCATATTCATGCAAGGTATTTCTCACCACGCCCTGACATGATCATGCCAATAGAAGGCTCTATGCTAGGTTTTGATGGAGAGCATGCAAGTTGATGGAAGATGCAAACTGTTCCAACTATCTGCGTACTCGGCGAGAGCGGCGAACAAGGTCAGTTTCTTCGACGAAGATCGATAAAGAGAGTAAGTCTGCGTACGTTTCGTGCTTACAGCCGATATCTTATATAAGCCAAAGTCATTTGGGTTGGCTGGCCTATTGTGTGAAAAATTGAGTTTATTTTTCAATGGTTAAGAGAAAAGTGCTGCCTTAAAAGACTGGTACGGTTTCAAATCACCAGCGCAGTGTGCGCTAAGGTGCTCATCCCACTGTGGCTCGCACAAATCGGATGTTTCAAGCAACTGCTTCACCACAGCTGACCTTCAAGAAGACTACTGGTCATTTGGTTAATTAGATTAGACCACCTTCGACCGGTAGCCATCATTTCAGGGCTATGGCATGAGGGGGACCGGATAACGATGGGACAGGACTACATGCACCGGGCCGATTAACGACCTCAGCTCGCGTAGGGGTCCCTGTGCGGGGTATGCGTTGAGCACCCGGTCGGGGTCCCCCTCCAGGGGGCCCCTCAGCCCGCTCGTGGCTAGCTCATGTAGCCTGCTCCGGATGAGCGGGGCATCGCAAGGATGCAGGATAAAGCAGGAGAGAGGATAAGAGGGTCGGATTAAGGAGGCTATTGAATTGCAGTACTGTTTTAGTACACCCCATGTTTCACTCAAATAATCTGTACAGCAGAGCGTAAGAACTAAGCCAGGAAGGGACGTGCCGCCCAGAAATCGCGCATGGTCACAACTAGGCCACAGACCGCATTAGCAACTAACAACCCTACGAGGCTGCATACTGCGCCGGGAGCACCGCCGCTGCCCTCACCTTGGCTTAGTTCTGCGCAAATCCGCCCATCCATCGGATCGGCCCCACGCCTATGGTCACGGGTAGCTCGTCATGTCCGTATATCTGCCGCTAACGGCGGCCGCTCCCGCCCGATGCTCCCATTCGGCCGTACGTCTGCGGCCCCGGGGGCGGGATGACCTGCACGGAACCTCGGCCCTTCAAACCGGTCACAGTCGGCGCCTCCACTCCCGTGCTGCCCGGGGTGCCGCCCGGCCTGACTGCCGAAGCGTCACGGGGACGGGGGGGGGGGAGGGGCAGCCAGCCGGGCCGGACGGGGAGGGGCCATCTCCGGTCAGGGCCGGGCCGGGCAGGGCAGGGGCGCCGACTGACACGACCGATGGACGCGGGGACGGGAGCTGGTGACAGGGCGACCATGACGGGACCGGTGCGCCGTCCTCGCGGCCGCCCTTGCGCAACATCGCCCGCGGCCGGCCGGACGATATGGAGCGTCTGCCGAACTGGTGCATGGTGGCCAACGCAAGCGGACCCTGTGGGACCATGCCAAGCGGACCACAGTGCCTTCGATCAACGAAATCACAAAAAGGTATCCTGTTTTATTTATGTGTATGTATATGTGTCTGTAGATATATATATATATATATATATATATATATATATATATATATATGTACGTATGCTTTGCCTAAAGTGTAAGTCGGTTTCCGCCACCATGCACGATTAAATGTATGCCGGGATGTTCGATTCATGCAGGTCAGAACCTCGGTCCTGAAACGCTGCTACAGTTTAACCACTGGGAAAATTGGCTGGCTTTAATGGCTATAGGCTGAACATTAGTTGCATTAACGCCAGGGATTAATTTAACGTAGCATCGCCTAAAAAGCAGCCTGCCAGCAAGCTATCAAACGTGTCGATGCGTACTACTTTTGCAATCAGTTAATGAGCAGTTTGAAGCCGTCTCAGTCTTTTTTGCAGCCAGAACACGAGCTGGCTCATCTTCCACCCACGCTCGATGTCTGCGCGGAGTTTAGGCATGCATTCGCACACATATTCCTCGTTGCTGGTTTGAGTAGGCTCCATCATTATGTTCCCGTCAGTAAAGTTTGCTGATTAGTTTTTCCTTCACTGATTTCCCTTTATCTATTTTTTAGAATTTGCATATTCCTTTAAGAAGTGACCTTTTTAGGGGAGTGTGCAGCCTAACCTTGCAACCTCTGACCTCTCCTCATGTGACGCGTGCTATCAAATTCCTAACGACTCCAACGTGCTCAAAATATTTCCCCTGGATAAAGTAGTAGGATCCAAGCTTAACTGTAAGACTATTCGGTAGCTCGTGAGCTAAGTACAAAGGTACAAAGGTTAAGTGCAAAGCCCTTGAGCTTGTCTGCATAATACCTAGGTAGTGGGAACACTAGCACAGGCAGACAGGGATGCATGCGACGACAGCACAATTTGCTGTTGGCCCGATATGCGTTCATACTGGAAACATTCTTCTTTAAATATGTATGCCCCAAAACCGTACAGCATTTAGGCAAATGGGAAAAACGCGGTTTCAGGCAAACCCGAATCCCAGCGGCCTTGATCGTCACAGTCCTTGGCCCTCCGCCCACAGAACCATTGATCGTCACTGCTACATAGGCGAGAATGTGACGAAGCGTGCTGCATCAGCATGCCCTGCGATTACACCTAGATGACAGCACACGCGAGCGCACGGATTTCGTATCGTGCTCCGGTTGGGCACAACCCTCCGCCAATGCGGTGCCGTGCTGAGTACCCAGCGAACAGAGACAATGAGCTCTGTGCATCATATCACTTTCATGGCGTAGCAAGGTAACCTATAAGGAAAGGAAGCCGGCCGAATGGCGGTCTCTTTGTCTTTTTCTCTGTCGAAGGCCGTCTCCTTCAGCTAGTGCGGAATGAGTTGGGACGCTACCCCGTCTAGTGGCGCAACACCGACCGACGGTTGGATGAATGACAGAAGATAAGAGGGCTAGAGAGCATTTTAGTTCAAAATTACTTCCGCGTAACGCCATCATTGTACTGGAAATTTTCATGAATATCCTTTTTGGGTGTCCTCCTCGTCTCCAGGCTACGCCCGATGCAGTGACACTGCGCCGCAATCTAACAATCCCTTGCGTCGCCGCTGTGCATGGGACGGGTCGTTGAGCTTCAACCCCTGTTATGCCATGTCCTCCTGCTGACATGATAGGATTAGGATTGGTATTTATGATGTCATGCCTGTTTTAATTTTCAAGTTCTGTTCCCATAGCGTTGGTTTAGGTAGGGTCTATTGCGCGAATCTCTTTCTCTCTTAACGGGAATATTGTGACCCGTAGAAACAAGCCTTTCATGATCAAATCCAGTACTCCTTCCACAGTGAAACGTTCCAAGAAAGCTGTTGAATCTATAAGTTATGTCCGCATGCCTCTTTATTTTCTCGTGGCACAGCTTTCATCCCACCAATTCATCAAGACTTCCCCTTCACATTCCCAAAGTATTTAATTTCCGTGAAAGGCACTTGCAAAACAGCGAATGTGAATATCATCATCACCCCCTAATAGATCACCTGTCCTTTATATCTCTAAGCGTTTCAATGTCACCAAACATGAAATTATTTGCTGCAAGTGCATTGCTTATGCTACCAATTGCATCATTTTCTGCACCTGTCATTTCTTTGGTCAGTTCTTGTTTATCCTATTGAGCCGTGACAGACCTGATAAACGACACCTTTCGGGATCTTGCCAAATTTTTGCGCTAGAAAGTCGCCACGCATTCGTCCCGTTGCGTGGTGCAACGCTTACAGAATCGGTCTCGGTTTGCGGCCGACGGTAAGTAGGGCGATCATGCACAGCCAAGTTGGTTCAATTGCCACCCGAAGCGTCACATGTACCCGCGAAAACGGAAAAATTCATTTCCCACAGGCTTGCCACTGAGCCGCGGCAGCATGCGTAGCATGATGTGATTAGCTCGCCACGGATACTTGACTGGCAGGCTAGATAGAAATCAGCCATACCCGGGACCGCAGGATTGGGGGTGTCAGGGTCCACCAAGTCACGTCTGTGGACAGACGAGCATAATGATCCGGTGCTACCCGCGCAACTTTTCATGCTATTGTGTTCGCAAAAGCGTTTTACGGCGTAACTCCCAAGCCGTCATGAACACACGGCTCATTAAATGCATGTAACAGCCGCACTGCACTTAAGATACGATACAGTACCTCCATATGTCCCGGTTTGTGGCCTTCCCAGCTAACTTGAACTAGATCATCTGCCTGATCCGGGCGTCCCTGAACAGCGTCCTACCACCCTCTGGCCAGGTGACCTGCCCTATAAAACACACCTCCTCCCCACCAGTGGCACCACTTCATCCCCCGTCTCTGCACAGAGTCCTTCACCACAAAATGAAGCTGGTAAGGGTGGGCAGTGGGCATGGTCACTTAATTCTTCTCTTCTTTTAGCACATAAACCTAGGAAGACCTGCGCCTGAGATGCATGGTTCTCTCCAGCATTTAGAATGAACATGCTTGTCTCGTTATGAAAAGCAGAATGCACTTCCATTCACTCCTGTTCAGGTATGAATATGGCTTTCTTCACTCCGGCCACTTGTTTGCTTCACCCAATTAGTTCGACAACATTTTTGGCGAAAGGAATAATTTTAGACACATCACAAGGTATATAGAATGGTATCAAGACGACCAAAAGCTACAGATGGATCCACAGCTCGGTTGAAACAGGACAACATGTAGCTTGCACGTAGCACATGTCCCTGGTAATGAAGGGCATGTTCCACTAACGGGTCACCATACCTAATGAGGTTTTTGCCAGCAAAGGTAAATGGCCTCGTTTTGTTTCAGTTTGTGTTCGCTGCCGTGATGGCCGTCTGCGCCGCCGCCCCCTCCCAGACGTACGAGGCCCCGCAGGTCCGTGCCGCCCTCCAACCCGTCGCCAGAATTCTAGAGGAGGACAGCCAGCACGACGGCCAGCAGGGCTTCAGCTTCCGCTTCGTCTCCGACGACGGCATCGAGCGGCAGGAGCAGGGCTCGGACGGCGCCGTCGCCGGCTCGTACAGCTACACGTCACCGGAGGGCTCCGAGATCGTCGTGAGCTACGTGGCCGACGCGCTGGGCTTCCGTGCCGAGGGTGCGGCGCTGCCGACGGCCGTGCCCACCGAGTACCCGACGCCCGAGGTGCCGTCGACCGAGGCGGCCCCCGAGGTGCGCACCGTGCAGGGGTACTCGGCTCCGGCCCCTGAGGAGCGCGCCGCCCCCGCCCCCGTCCAGTACGAGAAGGTGCTGGTCGGATATCAGCCACGCTACCAGTAATTTTTGTTTTTAATGGCATATTCCCCTATCTAACAACCGCAAGAAGTGCGTAAGGATCACATTTCATGTGAGTTATGTGCTACTTGAATGAATGCCAATACAAAAGTGTGTTTGAGGGTCCTGATGTCCACGTGCGTCTGTATTCTGTATTTATTGATTTGTATCGTCTTTTGTCTTTTTATGTGTTATTGTGTCCTGCAACGTTTTTTTGTATGATTTATCACAAGTATGTTCGGAGAAAGATAAAGAGCAAAATATACGTGCACACAACTATTCCGCATTCTTTTCCTTCCTGCAATTTTGAATGACTTTATCTCCCGCCATGGAATTTCCAAACCGTTAAAAAACTGTAGCACATTCTCACCAAGCCCGCGTGATCAGGTCTTCGTTTCCTGCCACATTGCATACCACCACGATTTCACAGTCCACACTCGAGCAATATGGACAGTGAAATCAAAGTTCATGGTGAGCTGAAGAACACAAGCCGAGCTGGTATCCATAACTGCCATCTAGCACGAGAATTTCGGCAGTAAGCAAATCATTACCTACTGTACCTTTGCTGGGCAAATCATCATGAAAGGCAAAATTTAAAGCGCCTTGACCAATCTTAATGGTCTCGGTTACCAAATGTGTCTGGGTCTTTTAGTCTAGTTGTTTATATCGTCTATGTTGTGATAACTGTTAGCTGTAACATCCATCGTCACCTTGCTCGCGAGCCCTGGAAAAGCGCGTCGTAACGCCACACCCTATCAAAACCATGGTTTTGTTCGCTCTGAATGATACGTTGGATCACTATTGATGTTCGTGTTCGAACCAACTGAGAACACTAGGCCTTGTAGCTTGGCCACTGTATGCCCACGGTCATAGCTCCTATATGTGCATCCACTCGGTGAAGCTATTTCATCTTTTTTCGGATCTTCAACCCAAGTTTTTTCAGCAATAGGTCGATATGCTAATGGCGGTCGGTAATGAAGGTCTTGAAACAAAGTATCGCCTGCAGGACCATTCCCTTATTGCGCACTCTCTGATTCTTTTAACATATGCCTGGGTGACCGGTTGCATACGATGCCCGCACGGGGGGAGGTGAGGGGGGGGGGGGAAATTTGGCCCCTTGATATATAAAACTAAAGAAAACGAAGAACCAAATCTACGGGACAGACCTGGAAGTGCACTAACTTGTGGACGTCCCCAAGTGATGAGCTTCTTCAGCTCAGGTCAACTTAGGTCAAACAGAGTCAGACTCTAGATCGATGTCAGAACTTCCCACAGACCTCCTTGTGCAGCCATCTTCAAGATAACGCTAATTAAAATCAACCATCGGTTTACGTCGTCTCAAGTCCTCCAAAAAGAACGTTTCACAATAATGCACGTCATCAAAATCCTTGCAATGTGCACCTCTTAAAATATATCAACGTAGTAGACTGTTTTGAATGTACTGCTCGGGGCTGTGAAACGCGCAAAGCCAAACAACAATGTTCTGACTACAACAAGTCTCACCCGTCGTTTAACCATGCACTAGTGGGAGGTGGCGCCGAAAAGGCATGCGCGTTCATGCCACAACACCACACTCGCTACAAATCCATTAGTCATGAACACCATGCTAGCGCAAACCACAGACCATAGACGCCTCACCACACTTAAGAAATTATACATTAGGGACATTTGCTGATGGCACCCATCATCAACCTACAAAACAAACAACTCACGCAACTACTACTGCACGGTATGCGACTTATAAGACAGGCGTCCTCCTTCGTTATGCAAAGCTGCCGGACCAGTCACCTACAAGCTTGACGTGACGACAGGATGGAAAAACGGTCAGTCCGTACATAAATGTACCTTAAATAAGATAATGCAGGATACTAATGGTATTTTTTAAAGTGCCTCAACCGTGTGTATCGCAGAAATATGAAGAAACCAAACTTTTACATGCGTGCTGTGCCTGACAGAAAGTTTGTAGTGCAGTCGTGTTGAAAATTATTAAGTTTTGAACACCTTGAAGAGTAGATGGACTTTGATAGCCTTCTTTTTCGAACAAACAAAAACAACAAATGCACCACGCGAAAACTTGAACAAGCGACCAAGAAGGTAATACGAACTGAAGTTGCTGTGATGGTTAACCAACATTACATATATATATATATATATATATATATATATATATATATATATATATATATATATATATATATGTGTGTGTGCATATATGTTTCATTAAAAATAACTGCTGACTCAGCATTGACGAGCTTTTTGATGCATCGTTCTAGTTTCCGGGCCTTTGACTTTGCGTCATCGCTTAGATTAAAGATGGTTCGCACAAAATTACTCATATTTTCATCGCTCCTTCCATTCTAACGTTTCGAGATTTTATGTCATCTTCGGAGAAGACTAAATTGCACAAGAAATAAGTTTTGAGTTTTAAAGGATGAAACATTGTGCACTACTGTTGGAAAACATCTTTTGGTACGGAGAACATAAATGAAGCATAACTAATTGAAGTAAGACGGATCGCTATTTTCATTTTCATACATATAAGAAACACTCATAATGGGAACATCACAAAGACACAATGGGAACACTATTGTCACAATCACATCAGAAGTGCTCACCTCCCACCACCTATGTATTGTATTTTATGTTCTCCGTACCAAAAGATGTTTTCCAACAGTAGTGCACAATGTTTCATCCTTTAAAACTCAAAACTTATTTCTTGTGCAATTTAGTCTTCTCCGAAGATGACATAAAATCTCGAAACGTTAGAATGGAAGTAGCGATGAATATATGAGTAATTTTGTGCGAACCATCTTTAATCTAAGCGATGACGCAAAGTCAAAGGCCCGGAAACTAGAACGATGCATCAAAAAGCTCATCAATGCTGAGTCAGCAGTTATTTTTAATCAAACATATATGCACACACACACACATATATATATATATATATATATATATATATATATATATGTATGTAATGTTGGTTAACCATCACAGCAACTTCAGTTCGTATTACCTTCTTGGTCGCTTGTGCAAGGTTTCGCGTGGTGCATTTGTTGTTTTTGTTGGTTCGAAAAAGAAGGCTATCAAAGTCCATCTACTCTTCAAGGTGTCCAAAAACTTAATAATTTTCAACACGACTGCACTACAAACTTTCTGTCAGACACAGCACGCATGTAAAAGTTTGGTTTCTTCATGTTTCTGCGATGCACACGGTTGAGGCACTTAAAAAAATACCATTAGAATCCTGCATTATCTTATTTAAGGTACATTTATGTACGGCTGACCGTTTTTCCATCCTGTCGTCACGTGAAGCTTGTAGGTGACTGGTCCGGCAGCTTTGCATAACGAAGGAGGACGCCTGTCTTATAAGTCGCATACCGTGCAGTAGTAGTTGCGTGAGTTGTTTGTTTTGTAGGTTGATGATGGGTGCCATCAGCAAATGTCCCTAATGTATAATTTCTTAAGTGTGGTGAGGCGCCTATGGTCTGTGGTTTGCGCCAGCATGGTGTTCATGACTAATGGATTTGTAGCGAATGTGGTGTTGTGGCATGAACGCGCATGCCTTTTCGGCGCCACCTCCCACTAGTGCATGGTTAAACGACGGGTGAGACTTGTTGTAGTCAGAACATTGTTGTTTGGTTTGCGCGTTTCACAGCCCCGAGCAGTACATTCAAAACAGTCTACTACGTTGATATGTTTTAAGAGGTGCACATTGCAAGGATTTTGATGACGTGCATTATTGTGAAACGTTCTTTTTGGAGGACTTGAGACGACGTAAACCGATGGTTGATTTGAAATAGCGTTATCTTAAAGATGGTTGCACAAGGAGGTCTGTGGGAAGTTCTGACATCGATCTAGAGTCTGACTCTGTTTGACCTAAGTTGACCTGAGCTGAAGAAGCTCATCACTTGGGGACGTCCACAAGTTAGTGCACGTCCAGGTCTGTCCCGTAGCTTTGGTTCTTCGTTTTCTTTAGTTTTAGATATCAAGGGGCCCAATTCCCCCCCCCCTCACCTCCCCCGTGCGGCATCGTATGCAACCGGTCACCCAGGCATATGCTAAAAGAATCAGAGAGTGCGCAAAAAGTGAATGCTCCTGCATCAGCTGTGGACATGAAAGAGCTTAGGAATATTTTCTCGTGTTCACCGTGAGTTTTTTATTTTAAAACCAACCGTCACTCAATGTATCCCCAGCACTTATGAAAACCCATCCCATACGACGCCATGTGCGGAGAGTGTCGGGCGGGACGGTATATTGGAAGCGAGAATTGTCAGTTGTCATCATCCAGAACATGCCAGAAACTAAGCTGGTGGGCCCAGACCCTTTGGCATGCGATATCAATGAGCTTGATCAAAGCGCTAAGATGCCTACTTTTAGCACAAATTTACAATACGGACATCCACTGATGCAGCAAGCGCACACGAACGCCTGAAATTTCGTCGATCAAGCCGCGAAGATCCGGGCTCGTCTGAACCTTCTTTTTGCTCGACATTTTTGCGTGTTGAAAGTATTACAACAGTTTGCAGCGCACAACGTCTAAGGAGCTGTAATTTGTGCTGCTGAAAATACGTGGGCCTGCGATCACAGGTTGCCATGCGATTGGGTCCCAGGAAGTGAGACGGGGGCCAGGCCGGTCGGGCTGTACCGTGTCCGGCCTTCTAAAGTAACGATGTTATCAGCGTTTAAAGACGACCCAGTCAGTCTACGTGTTCGTTCGTAAATATAGCACTCCGTTCTCATCAACCTTTGGAAAAATGGCATGTGAAAGAGTTCACGTTCAGCGGGGGTTTTCCTAGATTTTCCCCGCAATTCCGTTCAAATCGGTAAGTCGTTTGAGGCACGGAATGTCGAATGTAGGCTTGCTATAAATTCACGTATAGGTAGCTGTAAACTAGCTGTGCTTAAGTATATTTTTTCTCTACGTTCCTTTGAACGCTCCAAGAATAAATAATACATAAAGATCTTCTACCATCACACTGCAACGCAAAGCACGAAAGACAAGGCATATCAGTAGACATACAAGACCCACATAGCACTGTCATCTAAACATTCAGGAGCACGCGTAGCTCGGCATTCATAGAATAACCAAATGACTGTCAATTCCTATATCCAACGAACTAAGTTGGCCGACAATCTCTCCCTGTTCTGCCCATTTACGGGAACAGCCACAGACCATACATCGCTGTTTTACTGATACCGGGGCTGGTAACCGACCAGCACCTTCTCGTACTGGACGGG